CCCCAAAACCCCAAAACCCCAAAACCCCTTAGGCATATCTGCCCATTGAAAACGACAGTATTGTTTCTAAAGCTCTTATTTGTAAAAAATCTGAAGTTAAATTTCTTCCTCCAAATCCTTCCTTACATCGCTTTCCACTACAATCACCCTGTGAAAATCTCAACTTCTCCAAACTGGCACTCCTTCAGGACCTCTTCAACCTTACTCCTCTCCATTCCTCAGTCCTCTACTCTAATCTGCTTCAAGTTCCTCTTAAAATCCTTTTCCTGGGCTAGAGCCTTGATTAAGTTCTTGAAGCGGGAGGGGTACTTCTCCCAGTTGCCAAGTTGGCTACTTCCTCAACTACTCAGGTCGAGTACTTGGAGCGTACTTCCTTGAAGAGACCCCTCGAAAGAAAAGATTGAGTTGAGGGAGAGATTACAGGAGTCTAAGCAGAAATATTTTGTGTGCTTGTACGCGGCTAGGAGAGTGTGGAGATGCGACTGGGAGACTTCGAAATTACGAATGACAAAACGCTCCTCAATCTTTGAACTCAGTGATCACAGTTCATTAATGTAAAAATGAAGGAAAGGAATTAAATTTGAACTTCCATTGAAGTTGAACTCTCCGACCTTGAGCGGGAAATAAAGACTAAGGAAAGTCTTGATGACATAGCTCTCTTTAGTTATAGGTCTGATACTAATACTTTCACAATCTGGGAGTCTTTTGCCAATTTCAGTTAAGAATCCCAAATGAGTGCTATTATTAAGGAAAAGGTTAAGCTTAGTATCTAGGCTAAACTCCATCTCTCCTCCCCAATAGTCATAAATCGTATACGCGTTGCACAGGTTTGTGGCTTCTAGATATGAGTAAGCCCCATATATGTGTTCAACTTCCTGTTCAAAAGGCTCAGAGGATTCTGAATGATTATTCACCGAGGCTCTATTAATAGCATGTTCAAGCCTCTTTTTCAGGTCTTCAATCTCTCTATTTAGCTTCATAATCTCCATCTTTTGGGCCATACTCTTTTCTTCCAGATCTGAATAGTCATGTTTAAGCATATGAGCATCTTCAGCATGCCTTAGCACGATGCTTTGTTTCTCCTCTTGAAAATTCGTAAATGTAGCCATAAGTGCCTGGTGCTCAGTTCTTTCTTGGTGAAGGTCTCTGCTAAGGTTAGATATGGCCTGCTCCAGGTTACAGATTACTTCAACCTGTTCTTTACATTTGTTGTTAAAAGAGGCTAGTTGCTCTTGGAGATCTTTTTCATTTTTCTCATGAGATTCTTCAATCAAAATATCATGGTATCTTCTGTGCTGGCGTAGCTCACATTCATGGTTCTCTTCAAGTGCTTCCTTCTCTTCAGCAAAGTTTGCTTTCAGGTTCTTGATCCTTTCTCTCAGTTCTCTCTTCTTTTCGGTCTTAGCCTTAACTTTTTGTTCTAATCTCTTGATGCGATCGTAAGAGTCTTCCAAGTCATCGGATTTACACTTGATATCTTCCATAAGCTCAGATATTTGCTGATCCTTTTGCTCAGAGGCATTGATAAGTTCTGACTTGGCCTGTTCTAACTGGGATTGAATGTTAATCAGGTCTTCTATCTTCTCTTCGTATTCTTCCTTTTGTCTCTTCATATCTTGTTTAAGAGATATCTCCTGGTTTTCGAGTTCTTTCTTCAGGTTTTTAATCTTAGTTTTCTCATAGGAAAGCTTTATATCTGGCCTTGATTTTTCTTCAAGGATACGATTCCTTTGTTCCTTGAGCTTATCAGCAGTTCTTTTAAACACCCTAGCGTACTCTTCTCGGAGTTCTTTGGTGGCAAGTACAGCACTCTTTTCAACAGTTCCTTCTATAACTCCCAGTGCTTCCTTCCAATTTTTGGTTGCCGAATATTTGATGAATAATTGGTCGTTCATTACCAAGTCTTCAAGTTGCTTAGCTTCTTGTAACAAAGCCTCTAGTTTGAAGAACTGTTTGCTCGAAGCTATATCTCTTAGACTAGAAAAGATTTGATCTATTGCCTCTGTGATAGTGGTGTCAAATCCACTGTATTCTTCCTCAGAACCAAGATATCCTAGGGTTTTCGGAGATATTAGTAACTCCTTCCTGCACTGATCTATCACTTTTAATAAGGATATGATCGAATCTGGAGGGGTTAAGTTGATGGAATCGTCTGTGGAATATAAAAATATAATTGTTGAATATTTACCTGCTTTATGCTTGTGGCATACATACAACTTTCTGCTTAATATATAGAACTTTGACCTATCCTTACAAGATCTTCTTTTTCATATCGGTAAGTCCATATTTATTCTTATAAAACCTAATCCTCGTCCAGATTATTAATTCCCCACGGGGTTTTGGGGTTTTGGGGTTTTGGGGTTTTGGGG